AGAAAAGAAAAGAAAAGAAAAGAAAAGAAAGAAGACAACTGTTGGATGCAAGTCCATCAGGACATCTGTTTATTATTTTCAAAATCTTTCATAATTCTTCTGTTCACATGGTTCCAATCACTTTCATAACATGAATACCTAAATGTTTTAGTTCTTTTCTTAGTGCTGAAACAGTCATTTAAGTAGATATGATAGATCATTACTAGAAAGTACTAAAGAGGTAACTGATGTTATAGCTTCTCGGTTTTCTAAAAACTGCTTAATGAGAAGATTTTTAGTATAATACTATGACCACTTCACAAATCTACTTCTATTTTTGTTATTCATACTGAACATGAACACAAGACTGAGTCTTCTAAATAGCAGACAGGAAAAGGATGCAAGAAATTTATTCTACAACCCATAGCACAGAAGTTTCTGTTTCTTTTTGTCCTTCAAGCCTGGCTCCCTCTAGGCTATTTGAAAGAAACTCCTACTGAAAACATGAGTAAGCTTAAGTACCCTCATACAAACTGTTTTATATCAATACAATTCTGTTGACATAAGTGGCTCACAAGATGCATAGAGATACCCTACCGTCATCCAGCTCTGCACCCGTGTCTCCCTCTTCACCCGCCTGCCCTTCAGTGTCTGCAGGCTCTGTGCCCAGTTCATCCTCCACACCATTATCTTCACACGAAGCTAGAATATATTCCAAAATTTAGAGAAAAGAAAAACATCTATACAGTGAAAAGGGCATACGCTGAACTGAAATCATAGTGAACATATTTATTTATTACTGTCAGAACAAGAAATTCTGAAGTGTGTCAGCTGGAAGGACATAATATGAAATTATACTTCCAAACTCCAAGAAAGAAAGGAGTGCCTGTCCTTTGGGATCTGTAAGGCATTTGCAGTGAAAGCTGCAGGACTTTTCTGAGAAGAAGGCCTTCTGAAAAAATTCAACAAGAAGGGGACCGAGAGGCCCCCAAACCAGAATTAAGTTTACTTTTTTCCAGTAAATCACTATCACTTCATAGCACCCATGTATTAGGTGAAAACTGAAATCTCACAGTGTACCATAACTATTCATCTAGAAACTGAAACAGGCTTTTGAGGATGTAAGTCAGAGATGAGCAGTCTAGCAGTAGGACTAAACTTATTACGTGTGGAAACAGACTCTGGGCAGCTGTGGCTCTCTTTGGCATTTGACGTTGGCAATTGTAGCAGTATTTAGTCACAGGAAGAGAGAAGACCAAGCTGCGAGGTCTACCTTTCATTAATGACTGATATTAGAAAAACTTAAAAACAAACAATCAATCAAAAAAACAGCCCCACAAAAAAAGACCCAACAACAACTACAAAAAAACCCACAACCCACAACACCTTGACCCATCTCTATCACTACGAATGTTTCACTAGGGTTTTTTTCATTAAGCATTTCCATAGAGTGCCATAATTTCAAACATAATTTAAATATAAAGAAGCACTTCCAGATTTTTCAAGGTAGAGTCAATGAACTACATTTTTAGATTTGAGCAGCAGGTCATTTAGCACTGTTATATATCCAACTATTGCAAATGCAAACACAGTCAGCATGTGTCATCATGCAAAATGCTAACTATACACGTAGCACCCAGTCCTACAATGATGATTCTTGGTCACTCTTTTACAGTAAACTACTCATTGCAAGCTTCCGGACCTGCATGCACACAGTGTCACACTGTCCTTTCTAGGAGGGTTCCTGGCAGTTTCCCACAGTAGAGCTGGAGGTTGTTTCCAGCAGGAGTCTGGATGCATTCCTCCAAGTCTGGATGACAAGGAATTTTCCCTATTTTTGCCCTATGGGTGTGGATCACACTGTGTCATCTTTCTTCAAAGTCAGATAGTGGACACTGATCTTCTCAATTGCCACTGACGATGGAGCATTTGGGACCACAGATATGTTAGTATTGCTAATTAAGACAATCCTGAAAATAAACCAACCCTCCCTAAAACTGAGGTCTTACAGACTCTCCTCTTTCTCAGTTTTTCTCTGGTCTCAAAATATAGCCTTCAGTGGAGGGTTTGTCTTCCTCATTCTACGTTTTCCACAAGGTATTTTTTCTATGCTTTTCCCCTCTGTAGTATTATGACAGACAAACATATGCGTTAATTTATTTTCTGTCAACTGCTGTGAAAAGGCAATTGTGCTTACATGTGATAAAACACTGACCTATTCCCTTACATCATAGGCTTATAAAATACAGAATCTTACAGAGTTAGAGTGTAGGAAGCTGAGTCACGCAGCAAAGGCTGGACGTCCCAGAGAAGCATATATAAATGTACTGAACAAAACAAATTGTGTCTGATTGTTGCTGAAGTATGCACTAGCCTATGTCGTTTGGGGAATAATAATGTTGTGGGATGGTTTTATGATAACAGCAAACATGAGTAATCTTAATCAAAACCCGTAGAAATGTAACCTGACGTTAGGAATATCTGATTCCACTATGTACATGTGTATCTTCAGATCCAGACACCACGAGGGGACACAATACACACAGGGAGTGTTGGAGGGAGAAAAGAAAATCAGCTCTTAAATAGGTTGGTATACAAACCTCAAGCGAAGATTATGGATGCACAGACAAGGAACGACTTGGAGCAAGGGGGATCCCATTTTGAGGGACACGGAGAGCTTGCAAGTGGTCGGTTATATTATACATATACTGTGCATATACGTATACGCAGTTAGGATAAGAAGCAAGAGGCCAAAAGCTGTCACACAATAATTCAGAAGCTACAAACTATGGCAGCTGGAAACTGGGATCAGCACTTTGCTTGTACCAGCTAGCAGCCAGGAGCAGGCTGCACAATGTGCAGCTATCTCGTAAACCACTGCTCTCCTGCCAAAGCAGCAACAGAAGCAAAGTTGTATAGATGAGCTAGCTATTCTGATTTGCCAAAGCAACTTAGCTGTAGATTACTACATACCCATAACTGCTTCTGTTCCACTCATTTAGGTACTTGCACTGCTTACAGAAATCTACTCTCTCAACTCTAGTCCCAGAATCATCAGTTTTGTCACAGAGCTTAGATGACTGCACAACAAAAGCAAGCGAGCTCTACCTACCATCCTTCAGCTTTACTGAGGCTTTCCTAGATACATGGATCCCCAAGCCAAAGCCAACAGCCATCGTTATTCTGAAAGATCCCACCTTCAACCTTCATCTTCTTTCCTGTCTTCATCAGATAGCTAGTTTGCAGTTGCTGTAGATAACTGCAACTGCTTTCAGCACCCCATCTCTTTATCTTTTGACTGGAAGAAAGCCCCATGTTCTTTTAGTCAAGGAGCCGAGAGAATAACACCTGGCCTACTTTTCAGTTTACAAAGAGAATCAAAACACTCAGCTAGATTCCTCCTTTGTTATACCAAAGATAACCTCTCTGTTTGGCCTCCCTTCAGAATGGTTACAACAAACATTGAGTTCATGCAAGAACGGGCTGTCTGAGCAAGGTGTGCATGCACACTCCCCTCCCTCCCTCCACTTCCCGTCATGCAGTAGCGATAGGGCTGTAAGTCCAGGGTTAAAGTACCAGCTCAGCTGCTGAAGGCATGGAGAAGAGACGGGCAGGGTTATTGTGCATTGGAATACATTTAACATCACCAAACTACCTCCAGGGACCGTCTCCAGCCACGCCTGTACCGCCTCATGGCGTACGGAGGGAAGGTCGGACGCTGAATTTAAAAAACAACAAATTATAAGAAGTCAAAATTAGACCATCAACAAGCGTCTAAATCAGAAGAGTGACAAAGGGAGAGTCTTCGCTGAGAAATACAGGAACAAAACCTATGAGATGTTAAAATTGAGATATCAGTCAAATGCCAAGGGCCAAACCTTTAGGATCTGCCATGTTAGAGGAAATACACAGTGAGAAAAACTGACGCGCAGGTCGCTGTTGCTGTGTGCTTCACCTGAAACTTTGTACAGGAAGGAAACCCACAGCTGAGGGAACCGAGCTGCCTGGGTCTGAAGGCCAGCAGATGAGAAGGGGCACTACAGCACAGTGGTAGGGGCTTCCGTGTGCCGCCATGCTACCCCAGCCTTCAGAACAAACCCCACCGCCACCGCCGCCCTGGTAAGCTCTGCAAGCACCTCATAGCTCAGCTCAGCCAGGGACAAGGTTGTCTACTGTACTCAGATGGAAAGCTTAGAGCCTACCCACAAGTGCTTTGCGACAGCCCTTGCAAAAAACAAACTGCCTGTACTGTATCAGAGTGGAACTGAAGGAGCTCATCTACTGATCAATGTTTTCCTAGTCTGGCCTAATTTGAAGGAAAGAGAAGGAAATATTATTGTTCTGCTTCCCAAGAGAAGCTGGAAAGTCCACAGTCAACTTGGAAGTGCAAGCCTCCCTCCATTTTGCTGGCAGGTATACCATGTAGAAAAGTGGAATTATAAAATGTCAACTAACAGAAAGAATTAAAAAACTACAGTGTCACAGGCCCTCAGGCAGAAGCTAAAGCAACCTCAGTTGCGGTAAGCTTATGAAAATATGTTGACTTTTTTTACTTGTTGTTCTTAAAGCTCTAGGAACACTGAATATTACAGAAAGCAGAACACTGCGTGCTCCTTACTTGCAGGGAGCTGTTTTCACACCAGAAAATCCCAATGCAACCTGCAAACTGCAACTGTAAGCATTGCTGAGCTGAACTGGAACTGTGTATCAAGTTGGATCATGATTTAAAAAAAACAACAAAAGAAAAGCCAATTAGAAATATGAGGAAAAGATCATTATCTGGAATGGAATGTGATCAAGCAAGATGAGATAAAGCCCTAGGTTCTGTAAAACAGATCAGTCATGAGCTTAATCTCATATTTCCTGTGAAAGGCATCCCTTCTCACAACATACTTACTCCCCCTGCAATTCTGCCACAGTAATTACAAGACTTTGATAGAAGACAGCCACTCACTAACAGCATCATCAGCTTTAACTAAGCTCAGCTTTCTGCACCTACAACATACTTACCTTAAGATACACTGTAATGCAGGCTAGAATAAGGGCTGTAGGGACTCACAGGTGTTTGTAAGACTGCTAGACCGTTAGCATATTCCCCTTCCAAAGTTTTCCTTTATGCAACTGGCAATTCAAAAAGCTCACACCTCACTTTAAAAAACAGATATATTGTCCAGTGTTCAGCACAGGGAGTCAACATAACCCGTGGTGAGATATGCAAACCTTTGGAACTCCACCATTCACCAATGATACAAAATGCAGTTACGCAGTTTGAATAACAGCTATAGAGGCTCAATACAGAAGCCAACTCCATTTGATCTTTGCTGTAGCAGGTACACAGTATAATCCTTTAACTTTCTCTGAAGGGGCACAGAGTCCTTGCTGCCACAGAAAGCACTGCTACCCCTGAAGTCAGTTACCAGGACCTGATTGCCAGTACTCTGCACAGTGAGGAAGAACGCTACAGAGCCAGAGCAGGCACACAAACAGGTCAGAAGTCACAACAACATAAGGCTGAGAAAGCACTCATTTTAAGTACACACTGTCTTGAAAAGCAAAATGTTTAACCAAGTGTAATTTCAGAAAGCAGTTCCTTTGGATTACAGCTGTCCCTGCTGTCCACTGGTCTTGAAGGGCATAGAAGCAACAGGGTTAAACAGCTGCAGCTGTGATCTAGGAACTGATGGTGCAGGGCAGGGGAAAATTACCTCTGGAGGTGGAGGACTTTGAGGCTGGGACCATTTTTTCCTCCTCCTCTTTTTCACGGATGTGTGTCCAGTGCACATCTGCCAGAATCTCCAGAGGATCAACCGGATTTACAATCTGCTGCAGCCTAAGGTTTCCAGCTAGGGGATGGCATACCGTGATGTAGGAAGGGTGGAATGAAAGACAGGGAGGAAGAGATGGGACAACAGTGGAAAGGAAAGGTAACATATCATAGGAAAGGAAATAAGAAAAAAGAAAAGAAGGTGTTACTGGCTAAGACAGTTTTCAAGACAGAAAAAGTTTAGCATTGTGTGTGCACGCAAACACTAACACAGAGCTCTCCAGACTCCCCACCAAAGCTCAGTAATGCCATTCCAGAGGCAAAGAGATGCTATCAAAAAAAAACCCCATCATTGCAGATTATGTCTATTGCAGGCAGTTTCACTGAAATGAAAGACATTCCCTGGGTGTCCAACAGATATGTGGTGTGTAAATACCAATGTAGCAGAAATTTCCAGCTCCTTCAGCCTATTCTTCGTGACTACTGACAAAGACATCTTGCTTTTAAGGGACAGTCTGCTTTGTAGCTTGAGGCACCAAAACAAAATGTCTTTCATGCCCTACTATTAGGTTAAGTACTCCTATTTGTGCTGAACAGTTTCTCCTTGTGAATTAAATTACATGAGGGATCTCAGAGTTTCTCACGCATGTGGATGTGCATGCATGCTTAAAATAGTAGTCTTTTTCCGAAGAATATCAGTATTTTCATTATGACTTAACAGTGTCTCCACTTCCTCAGAAGGGACTTCCTGTTACAGAAATGAATTTGTTTAAAGTAGTTTGCATTACTCCCCAATTATCTGCCTATACAACCCTCGGATATGGATAGTCAGAGAGAACAATAGGCACACTACTGAAGCAACTGATAAGCAAACTGCTTAGCTGCTGCAAAACACCCGTGTTGCAAACATCTAACCTGCTGCACATCATTTGACAGACCCTACCGCTGTTGCTGTCAGTTATGGGACTACAGCTCAGGCTTTATTTACCCATTAAAAAAAAACAACTTATTCTATAGGGAACAAGGTGTTCTGTGTCATCTGCAGTGCTCTTCAGAAGCAAATGATCCATTCGGAGAAGTAAAATGCCACTTACTTCATGAGCAGTATGTCAATTTTTAAAACAGCTGATTACTCCTACATAGGGCCAACACTGTTTCAGCAGTTAAGAGCCTCAAAAACAATTAGGTTTTTATGTTGTGGACTAGTGTTTGAAGGAAACAAGAAACATCAGCAGCATTTAGAAGTTGCACTCATCATTTCCTGCTGTCTTGTTTTAACAAAGGTCCTCTTTCCCGGCCATGTTTTTCCCAGAAATGACAAAGTGTTTGAGACTTCTGTTTCAGAAATGACTGTGTGTGACATTTGGCATCAGAATTGCAGAAGAAACAGGCAGAAGGAACTGCAGGAAGGACAGAATTACCTGTTGGTTATTAAAGAGGAAAAGGGGTCAGATGCACAAACTCAAATGCAGAGCAGAATTCACGATTTAGCCAAGGATTCAGCAGTTTTAGGTCTCTGTTACCTCATCAGAGAGCTTTCTTATCAATCAGCACAAACTACAGGACATCTTGCAGGAACAAAGGTCTGGGCTTTTCTCACTGCAGTCCAAAGCACTCACATGCAGGCCCCAAGGTGAGTAGAGTTAGCATTTGCATCGCCAAACAAAATTTTGTGTTAAATGGTTTAGGTTTGCCAGCAATGGCTGAGAAGTATATAGTCACTCAGCAAGGCTAGGAAAGAGCAGGTCCCACGTGATCTCGATGTTCGAAAATGGATTTCTCTGGGATTTAGACTAGCATAACATACCTTCGGTTATCCCACAACTATCCAAACGGAGGCCTGTCCCACTTAAAACATAGGTCCTTTTCACCTTTTCCAGTAAATAAATAGCAGTTTAAACAGCACAGCCAACTGTGTAGGAGTGCTGCTTGCCTGACAGGCAAACCTGATATTTCCTTGAGATCTAAATGCTTGAGAATTTCAAGAGACACTTGGTGCAGCCCTCTCTCAAGACTGCCTGCAAAGTTCTACAGGAACTGGAAGCTGGGTGCTAATTCCACTTACATATGGAAAGGTAGCTTTCCCCTCCAGGCACTTTCTAAGAAGTGAGCAGTCTGGATGTTTAACTTCAAATGGAACAAGAAGCCACTCACTAATCAACTCCTCAGAATCCACATCTAGAGAACAGTAGCAGCTACAACAGCTTCATTTATGCTCTTCAGCCATCTTACTAATACTTCTCATTCTTAATACCACAAAAGTTAATTTGGAAAAAAACATAACTTTTTTTTTTTTTTTTTTTTCCAGGGAAAAAAAAAAAAAAAAGGTCAGAAGCTAAGCTACAGCTGTTACAACCATAGGCTGCAAAATAGGCAGTTAGATGACGGGGTATGCCCTCTTACCTGCGGTAAGGCACTTGGGTTCTCCTCTTATGAATTCTGGCTCTAATGAACCACATTGAAGGACTAAGGGATTAATAAGCTATTAGGACCAAGTGCTTCAAAAAAATAAAAAACAACCATCAGAAATAAACTGCAACAAAATGCATTATGGAAAACAGCACAACTAGTTAGATAGAAACGTCAGATTCATCTTATGCACATTCTATGATCAAAATATCTGAGGGATCTGCTCCATTTGATTAGCTCCCCAGTAGTCTCTCCCCACAGACACACATTCACAAAGGACAATAACAAAAAATGCAAGTTTGCTCCCACAATCGCAGTACTTTGGATGTGCCCCACATGTCTGACATATTGCACAAGTGTGCAGCATGTCTATGTGTGTATGAACCAAACCTGAAGCTCCTAACTAGGTGGGGGTCACTGTTCATGCACATTACAGTTGCAAATTGTCCAGGCTTTCTGGATACCCTCAAGTGCTGGGCAACTTTATTTTTTTTTCCTAAAATCAGGGCAATGTCTGGTAACAACTGCTATCAAATCGATATTTAGAAAGCTGGTGAAGTAACTATGTAAAACACAGAACCTTCTCGTGTGGGACCTGCTCTTTAAAACATTCCCCCCATACTTAGGGGAAGTGGAAATAGCGTATGGGTACCTTTAAATGTACCCGTGTCCTCTTCATTTGAGAGACGTTGAAGCCAGAGGCCTTGCTGCAGCTCTTTCTCCCAAGGGCAATACTCTCCCTCTACAGCAGAGGGAACCACACATCCATATATCACATCAGTCACACGTGTGTACATACACAAGCAATGGAGAGAGAGAGAGAGAAGGAAAGAGAGAGAAAGGACAGCATCAGAAAGAAAGACTGACTGGAAATCCACCGAGACCCCTTATTTCTACTGTACGTAGCAGGAAAACTGCTCAAAAAAAACCCCATCTGCCTGAGCACACCAAGATTTAGCAGACTAAACATGCATGTTACCACATTAAAAAAGCAGTCCTGACTTTCACAGCTCCTACATTTAAAAACCAGGCAAGCAGCCTGCTGACCCGATGAGCAGAACTAAGCTAAGACCTAAAATAACAGGACCAGTGTTGCAGTAGGTAGCCAAAGTCCTTTGTGAAGAAGCTCTTTGGAGTCTACTAGTCTTCACAGAAAGGAAATGCAAGTATAAAGACAAAGACAAGATCAGCAAGAAAATGGGAATGGTGATGAAACACTGAAAATGCCTGTTCTTAGCACAAACTCTGCATTTTGATGACTGAGACAAACACATAGGGGAAGGAGTCTTTCCCTAAGATTTTCCACAGAAATCCCTCAGAGAAAAAACAAGAATCCTCTGAACTCCCTGAACTTCTCAAGGTTGTCCTTAAACAAAGGAGGACTAAAAGCAGATTCTTCTGGGATGTCCTGCTGTCAGCTAGGGCACTACCCCTGAGTGAAGCACCCTGCAGCACTGAAAACATTGCCTCCACAGTGCTTCCAGTTCTTGCCATCAAGGAACAAAGAGCCCATTCAAATCCAATTCCCAATAAAAATAATAAATAACAGTAAAACAATACATTGTCACAAAGCTGTGAGTTGCACATGTCGGCATGGTGTATGGACAGCATACTGCGCTGGTACTAGCGCTGCAAGTGCTCCGTGGGGAAAGTTCTTTCTGTATCCAAAATGGACAATTCAAAGCTTCCCTCGACAGTAACACCCTCAAAAACCAAAGTAATAAGAAAGTGAAAGGAGAAAAAGTTTTCCAAGGCTCATTCTGCAGAACAAGAAGTACGCAGCCCAGTCTTCCCTGCTGTCTAGCAGAAAAAAGGGGCAAATCAACGCGTCTAACCTTCGCTAGACTCCTCTTCATATTCCTCATCGTCCTCCTCCTCCTCGTCTTCTTCTCTGTCATCATACTCATGATTTTCCTCTGCTTCAATCTCTTCTTCGCTCTTCCCCTTCAATAGGGCATGGATGCGCACAGCCTCTTTCCATGGCACACCTCCCAAGTCTGAAGGGGGTTGCTGAGGCAGCAGCAGTTCATCATCCTCATCTTCATCTTCCTCCTCCATCTCAGACTCTGAACTGCTGTAAAAGTTTAAAAAAAAAGATAAAGAAACCACTAGTAAATGTTTCCTAGATCAGCCCTGGACCACTGACAAGTCATTTCAGTACATACAAGTCTGATGTACACACAGTGGAAACCACAATACTAATTTTCTGCTTTCAATATTTCATATGTATTTTCAGTGACAGCACTATGCGTGGCCTTGTAGTACGGTCACAATGTGGCATAAAAGTGCTCATGAATCCATGCCCAAATATTTTTGCAGTATTAATTATTACAGTGCGTGATCATACAGTGGAGAGAAGTGACCTTCCTAATACCACATTGCTTTGGATAAACTGGTTCAAGAGTGCTTGGCAGTATCATAACATAGAAGGTCACATCTTTTGATGATGGCAGCTTCTGCTAGTGTTTTGGATAGCTAAGATGTTTTTGGCACTTGCTGGGGACAACTATAGAAGACCTTATGAGTAGAAAGAACTCACAACACAACTATCAGGTGCCAAAGGATAAAGAATGTAAGAGCTAAGGAAAGATGGAGAAAAAATGCAAAATTCCTCACTTTTCTACACAGAATTATAGCATGGTTTGGGTTGGAAGGCACTGTTAACATCACCTAGTTCCAACCCTCCTGCTATAGGCAGGGACCCTCTAGAGCAGGTTGCTCAAAGCCCCATCCAGCCTGGCCTTGAATGCTTCCAGGAAGGAGGCATCAACAACCTCACTGGGCAACCAGTTCCAGTGTCTAACCAGCGTCACTGTAAAGGATTTCTTCTTAATATCTAGTCTAAATCTACCCTCTTCCAGTCTGGAATCATTTCCCCTCCTCCTTCTGTCACTACACATCCTCCTCAGCTCTCCTGTAGGTCTCCTTCAGGTACTCTAAGGCCTTCTCTTCTCCAGGATGAAGAGCCCCAGTTCTCAGCCTGTCCTCAGAGGGAAGTTGCTCAGACCTCTGATCATCTTCATGGCCCTCTTCTGGACCCACTCCAACAGCTCAATGTCCTTCTTGTTTTGCGGGCCCCAGAACAGGATGCAGTGCTCCAGGTGAGGTCTCACAAGTACCACCTCCCTTGAGGTTACACTCCCTCCTGGTCACACTTGTCTTGATGCAACCCAGAATACAGTTGCCTTTCTGGGCTGCAAGCACACAATGTCAGCTCATGTTGAGTTTTTCATCAATCAGCACTCCCAAATCCTTCTCCTCAGGGCTGCTCTCAAGTCATGCTCTGCCCAACCTCTATCTGTGCTTGGGATTGCCCTGACTCAGGTGCAGGACCTTGCACTTGGCCTTGTTGAACTTCACGAGGTTGGCATGAGCCCACCTCTCAAGCCTGTCCAGGTCCCTCTGGATAGCATCCCTTTCCTCTAGCATGTCTACTGCATCACTCAGTATCATATGCAAATTTGCTGAGAGAAACAAAATTATCATATGTATCCAATTAAGTACAGAGTGTACACAGTGGCAAGAAACCATAGGAAGCAGTATAAGGATAATTACAATGATGAGCTCATTATTCTCACAGTGCAGTCTAAAACATGCAAAACAATAGTCCATTAGTGCTCTTTGGTAGGCATCTCTCTTTGATTCTAGCAGTTCTTCTCTATAGGCGGAAGGGACAAGGGATTGTCTAGAACTGTCGTTGTCTATACAACACTGCATCTAGCTCATTCTTACATGCTGGACCACCTAGAGATACTGGGAAGAACGATGGTTGCAAGTCATTGGAAAACAAATATAAATCATAACATCTTCAGAGAATGCATGCACATGGTGACAAAGTATTCTTTCTTTATTTTTCCTTAACAGAACACTGTCAGAAAATAATTGTATTTACTAGAGCAGCAGTTGGATGTTTCCCATATAAATCTTAATAGGCCCAAACTCATCTCATTTGAAGGACAAAGCTACTACAGCTAAAATTTAGGTGAATCATTTGAGAGCAGTATTCTGCTGCTGCTGCTTCCTTATGGAACTATCACTGCAGGCAACAAACTGACACCTTTGGCAGAACCCCTTCCACATAAACAATGAAAGGGAAAACAGAAAAGTTGAAAATAGCAAAGGATGAAGTTTAAATTGCATTTAGGTCTATGAAATATACCTTCTTTTGCTGTTGAGATTCTTTTCCCCACACGTAAGATTTTCATTATATGAGCATTATATGTGACAAACTGACACTTTACAAGAACAATACACAACAGCACCATTTCTTTTGTATTGCAGATAAGCATTTTCAGGCTTAGAATGTTGAGTTACTCTGCCACTACATGAACCTATCATCTTTACATAATTTTATCCAGCTGCTAGTATGAGAGATTGGTTTTGACAGTGGAGTTAATGAAGAAGACATTATTTTTTTCATGTCCTGATTGTCATGTACTTTTGCCCATGGGACTCTGCAAGTTCTGCTGCATATACATAAAATCATTTTGACATTCATGAAATGCTAAAGTTATAAGCTACATTTTTACAGCATAGATTGAATACCTATTTTCAATGGGCCGTCTCTTTTTTTCACATGCTGAACACAGCTGCATGCCATGGACTCCATGTATATTCCAGGAGAATGGAGTATATTCCAAAAGCTTTACACAGGTATGCTCACAGAGATAAAACAGACATTTCCATCTTCCCTGCTCCCCGATTAGCAGCACACTTTCCTGTCCTTTAGTATGGAAATAAACCTGACAGGTGCTGCATGTTGGCTTGTGCATGGGCTGTCAGCAAGGTTTACTGCTGCTCCAACTGTTACCATGACGGCTGAGTGGGACAAGCTCTTCAACCAGTCTGCTTATCTCATGTAATATTGACGACATGCATTCTTTACCACACAGCTCACTTTACCTTCCTTTTATAACCTGCTTTTTGTTTGACCTTTGAATACTGAGAAATGAGAATATGAGAGAGCAGCGGGATGGCCTGGTACAACGGGCATTCCTTTCAGCTGGCTGATTATGTGCCACAAGAAATAATTCAACAGGTGACACTTTTCTTCTTTTTTTCTTTCTAATTTCCTACAAAGTGGCGATCAAACAGCAAACTTGGTTACTTTATGGAATTCTATAACCAGTTGAATAGCCCTTTGAAGAGATGTTCCTACACAGATGCAGTGCTGTGGAAAGGAGCCTGAATCGTGGAAGTGAGCCTCTTCCATTCCCTTGCCATATTCCTTTCCTCACTCTGAGGGCGGTGAGGCCCTGGCACAGCTGCCCAGAGAAGCTGTAGATGCCCCATCCCTGAAGGCATTCAAGGCAGGGTTGGAATGGGGCCGTGGGCAGCCTGAGCTGCTGGGTGGCAGCCCTGCCCATGGCAGGGGGTTGGGACTGGGTGGGCTTTGAGGTCCCTTCCAACTCAAGGCGGTCTGTGATTCTATGACACAAGCCAACACTACATGCACTGTCCTGTCACGCTCCTTTGAAAGGTCACCATAACAGAGGATTACACCACGAGTGCAGATGACAAATTGCACATTACTGCAAGCTAAAGTCAATGAGTAAAGCACATAAAGTTTCCTCTTGAGGAGCTGATGGAAGATTAACTCTGTTTTGAACAAAAGTCCTTAGAATACAATTTTCTGTAAAACTTCCCTGGAACGTTTACATGCTCACGAGTACGTGTGCATATGTGTGTAGGGAAGCTGCACAACCAATGGCAACTCTGATTTGGAGTTCATATCCAGGAACCTTGAAGCTCAATCCCTTACTCCCTAAGACACGGAGGGAACAAAAAGTCCTGCATTTCCTCAGCCTGCTCCTAACCCCGCGGCTCTGCGCTGACAATGAAGATGATCAAATCAGGGCTTTGGTTGGCTTGCTGCAGGAATCAATTTCTTTTCTTTTGTTGCTGAAAAACCACTGAGATTTCTTCCTTTTTTTTTTCCTCTCCTGGTATTTCTGAGAAATACCAGGCAGTTGATACAACTGAGCAGAGGTACAGCAGAGAGATACATCATCTAGAAAATTCTCTGATGTTTGCCCACACAGCCTTATTGAAGCTCTAACTAAATTGCTTGCAGTGTCTGGTTTTGAGACAAAATTTTCTCCAAGTCAAACTGAATGGGAATTTGGTAACCTTTTTCTTTCCCTTCTATTACAAGTGTGAAGTTCCCTAGTAAACACTGCTTTGAGCATGCAAAATCTACCAATTCCACATATGATAGGCACAAATACTTAGTTCAATTCAAATCACAAGGCTAACTAAATAAACGACAAAGCCTACAAGAGGAAATCAAGCTACCTAACCTAATGAAGCAATGGCCTCAGACTCCACAATTCTGCAGAATAACTCATGGAGATGACCAACAGCTTCATCCCCAAATGCCGAAGTTCCACTTTTTAAACTAATTCTTCTCCTTTGGAAATCTGCCATTTGCTGAACATAACCACCACATCCTGATTTACTGGAATCATGACAAATAATAATAGGGCTCCATTATGGTGAATTTTGGTTTAGAGCTATGAACATAACAGACCACAAACCCCACAATATTGCTAATGCCAAAACTGTCCCACTGATATAATTTCTAGGCCTGAATTGGGAGCTACAGGAGGAATCAGTAAAGCAAGCAGAGTTTGCATCTGCCATTAAATTGTCTCATGATTGCTTAACCAGATCAAAGTTCTCAATTGTGCAAAATATGTCAAAATAGTATCTTCCAAAGAAAAGAATATGTGAAGAAATTAATCAAAAAGTATTATTTAGGTTTTGGAGAAATCTGCTATACAAATTATCAGCAGTTCCTAGGCACTTCTATTAAGCTACATCTTCATAAGTCCAAATATACATGCACTCCATCTAGACTGGCAGAGTTCAGGCTATTAGCAGTTGCCCATTTTTAGATGCTTCCTCTTCAAATTTACATAATAAGATAAATAAATGGCAGATTTTTTCACTACCTATAAACATTTTAATGCACACAGCTGCATTCTTCACCACACCAATTCAATTTCACATGCATGAATGCAGTAAAACATTTATTTCTAGAGTCCTATTCCTGAAGGTTATGTATGCTTAGAATATATTTGCAGGATCTAAGCCTTGGGAAACCAGAAACAGCATTATTTGAGTTTATTTCAAGAAGACTGATGGGAAGAATAAAGCTGAGAAGATAAGGGTTGTTATTGTTACAATGACTAGAAACCCCAACCAAGAGACTGAGAATTTAAAGAGTGCAAGATATTCTTCATCAAATACTCTCTCCCACTGACTCCTGCAACAACTATTTCTGTCAGCTATACCTGCAAATACTTGGATTCTGATGTGTTTACACATCGCTTTAAAGAAAAAGACAAATTTGTGAAGGTGCACAGCTATAAGCACCACTTCAGACTAAGATCTCTAGGCTTTCCACCAGCACTCTGCTGGGATTACGTGTGTGCCAAGCCTGAGTTTTTTTAACTAAAAATGTTGTTGAACTGTGATGTAAAATAGAAAAGAAAAAATAGTCCATTTTGGAACTCCCTTCCATTTGAATCCGTGTGCTATTTTCTCAAAAGAATTGTTCGTCTTTAATACAAATTTCTAAACAAATGAATGAATGAATTCTGAAATTCCTTTCCAACTTAGGACCGAACTTCATGCGATTGCGGTTCTACAGTTATCTTCTAAGAACAGCAGTAAGCTATTGAGAAAATAAGAAATTTCAGCAGAAAATAATGATGTACACATCTGGAAAATTTTCAAGAACTTTAGAAAAAGTTTTAACATACTGTTTACCAGCAACCTGGTAAACAGTATGTTAAAAAAAAACAAACAAAACCCGAGTGAGCAATGGGCAAAAATCTGTTGGGATGGATATAAAAGGCTTATGGACAAGCATACTAACCTGCTGGGCACATCCTCCTCTGCTCCTTTGTCCAACACACTGCTCAGATTATGTTCTGCTAGTGTCTCCTCAGGAACCTCTTCCAGTTCCTCTTCCCGTTGCAGTGACAGTCGGTAATTCTCCAGCTCAATTCGCTCAGGTGTGCCACGCAAGCGCTTAGCAAGGCTGGGCTCTTCCAGCCCATTTACATTAGGACCTAAAGAATAAGTCAGTGAATGAACAATAAATGCAACAGTCGGAACGGCAATTTCTGAAGAAATTGAGCAATTGGGAGAAATAGGGTACGAGGCAGAGGGAGGTAAGTGAAGTGAGGGAATACCTAATTTCATTATCCCATTCACCACTACTGGCAGAACCTCCTGGGAGCCAGACAGCAAAAGGCAATCTGAGCGTTTTGGGATGATAGATGCTAAAAAGTAGTTAAAATGTCCTAGTTGAGAGATGTTCTAGCTGCAAAAACCTATAGTTGCAGCAGAGTCTGCACAGTCTGGCCACAGGCTGGATTTGTTCTCTGAGATGAAGCAGGAATGCTATGGGGCAAGCCTGCTGCATGATGTTAAAATAGCTACCAGTCAAGCCAGGTAGAGCTATAGAAAGCAAGAAAATATGACAGATACTTAAAGGAGGGGGGGAAGGAGGGAATGAAAAGGGCCACTTGGAGTGATTTTTCAAAGTTTTTTAGACTTGAGTCCATTCACTTTTTAATCAGAGTTTGTTATGAAATAAACCACAGTAAAAAATCTAGGTGAGATGTTCACAACCACAGCATCACAAAAACCAGAGGACTACACGAACCAAGTGTACATGAACCAGACAGCCAGAGAAAAGTACACAGAAGCTTTGCTCACTGTGACGCTCAATTAATTACAGTCTAACCTACACTCGTCCATCTCTTCGTTAAATCTTAGTATTTTAATGGGGAGCCACTGTTTACCCAGCTTACCGTTTACAGAGTCTAATCTTTCCTAGCTTTTGTTTTGCTTTGCTGAACAAACCAAGCCTTCCTCTCGTGAGATAAGCTCTTCAGTGCACAGATCATCCCCCAGGTCTCCACACCTGTCCCTGTTTGGATTAATCTTTCCAAAACCTGCATGATCTGAATTGTGCACAGCTTTCCAGATGAGGTCTTATCTGCGTAACATACAACCCTGCCAGAAACCTCTCATCTGATACACCCTGAGAACACATTTGCCTATTTATACACCAGATAATACTGGGGGCTTTATTTATTGACTGATACTCAAACCTTTCTCCTTCTCTGCTTTCAACTGATAAGCACCTTGCTGGCAGCCAAAATTGTCAACACCTACTTGGTGCATGCATGACCTGGTACTTTCTAGTATTACATGTCTATTTTTAATATTATAGTCCGCATCATTTTGCGGTTCTCAGTGTATGACATGCCTTTCCTCCTCTGCACTGATGAGGGCTGGAAACATTGCCTTAGCAGCGAGTTTCATTAGCAGATTTCTCCTTTTTGGTCAGTATCCTTAGCAAAAGCATTGCAAGTCCCCAGATCCACAGTCTGTAGGTGTTACCCAACTCCATTACTTCCTCTTTGAATAAAATTGCTGAACTCCCATTTGAGCCAGCTCCTCCATCACTTGACACTTCATATACTATCCCTCATCTTATCCAGCTTTAATAATTATTTCCATGTGGCTGCTTTCAGGTACTTTACTGAAGTCCAGACTTTGGATATGCTGCATTTTCTCCCGGAGATTTGCGGATTGCTTCATCAGTAAGAGCTGCCAGGGTAGTTAGGCACAGTGTCTGGTGAATCCATGTCACATTTTATACCACTTACCTTCATGAGCTCAAAGGACTTCACTGCAGAATTAGAAGTCTTTATTTATTCACTCAAAGAAGAAGTTTTATCTACTATTTACATTAACTGATGTGTACTTGTTCCAATCTCCTTTTCTCCTTTTTTATTCACTTGCTCTCCTGGCTGTATTTAAGACTACATTCAACGTCAGACTCCACGTCTGCAGACCCATTTCTTTCCCATATCATTAGACTAGAGAATGCTCTCCTTCCTTACCTTCGCACAGCCTAACCCAGCTTGAGCTTTCTCAACATTTACTTTATCCTCTTTCTTTTTTACATCCAAGAGAGCTTTTGCTTTTTCTCTCCATTCTTTGCAGTTTTTCAGTTTATTTCTACTACAGCCTTTTTTCAGGGCAATCACTCACCCAGGAACGCATTAGCCTTTCACACAAAAGACTACACAGGCCTTGCCATAACTAGAGGCATTAATCCCTCAGTCCTTCTCCAGAAAGATAAAATCTCATGAAGACAACTTCCAGGACAATGCTTGGTATTACCGAACCCCTCTATGATGTGGACAAGTGGTTGCTGTGCCCCTGGGCTGGACTGAGCTTCTTTATGGTGGAAACCGCAGCTGCTAGCTCAGGTGAAAGGCAGGAGCATCACTGTCCATTTCCAGTGAGAAAGTGGTCTCCATCATTTCCTGCTGCTAAGCCTTATGTTGTATTAGTGCTTTCAAAGTTTAGTGGAACTGATCTGTCTTCTCAGCTGGGATTCATGCTTCATTTCAGTCTCTCTAGATGGTGATACCACCTCAGCCAAATCTATTTTTATAATCTGTGTTACATTCCCTAGCCCTGAGCTCATAGTAACGGGAGAAATGACCTGGAATACTGCTCCGCCAGTTCTGGCTGACAGGGGAAAACCAAGGGCTCTGGGTAATGGAAGAGCATCGAGGTGAGAGAAAACAACTAAAGAATTCACAGAATCAGCAAAAAACGAGAGCTCTTCTACTTGGAACCCTTTATACACAACAGAGCACTCAACTAGGCTCAGCTGTTTCCATAGGAATATCCTTTCACAAGCTCCCTTTTGCTTGTTCTCTTCCAAAGCATACCCCAAAATTGCTGCAACATGCACCAGTGTAAAAAGTGATAAGAAAAAAAAAAGATAACTTTTTCACCGTCTGATATTCTCTCACTCCTCTGATTTTCTAACTATCTTAAGCCTTTTTTCTTGTCAGCCTTTTCAAAGTTGGAAAAAAGAAAGAGAAATATTAAAAAAATCATTCCATATAATTAAACTGTATGAATGGAATATATATTTTATATATATATAAATATTATATATATATATATATAAGAGATGCTCGTTTCACTGCTACAGCATCTGGGTTGGGGAGAAAGATTAGCAGCAGTAACACTGAGGTAAAAGAGGACTGAACATCATGCTGATATCTCTTTATATGCATAGCACTGAGGTATTTAATCTTCTGGGCATGTTATCCAATAGAAACAAAGGATCACCAACCTTCTAATCATGAAGACTGAGTACAAGTACAAATTGTACAAAGAGCATCAAACCAATTACCTCACAGTACAAAGTATAAGTATGAGCAAATCAATCATTAAAACTATGTTAGAAAAAAATGGAATGATGGGAAAAAAGAGAAATCTACCTACACTTCAAGGCAAAAGAGTGTACTCAAACCAGGATGTCTGCTAGGCTTGAGAAGTGCTCTCTGCCTCAAAATCCCAAAGAATTAAAAAGAAAACTCCCAGCAATTTTCAAACTCGTTTCTATAACCACCCAGTTCAGATGCAGGATTGATAACATTCATTTTACTTTGTACATAAAACAGCTCTATGCCGGACAACATAATGCAGAAACTCAACTGATAACTAAGGGATTCAGCAAGGGATTTCTAAAACCTTGCTCTATATAGACACACTTTGTGTACAAGACCTGGTTTTGTTTCTAAAAGGTGCCATAGGCTTACCTGACTAACTGCAAAGCCACTGCCATTGTTACCCAGTGCTAATAGGAGAAATGCTGACAACCACCTGTCTACACCACGAAGACATCAGCTACCAAAGGGAAAAACGTTAATTTACAAACCTACCTAAGGGACAAAGCTAGCTGAGAGATATAGGTATACTTAATGTGGCAAGAACATGAGTAATTTGTCCACATTATGCTACAGAGTTCATATCAATTCATTCGAAGCTACAAAAGAAAATTAAACCGGCACAAGGAAATTTGAAGCTGTCCTACCTCACTTCTTCCAAACATACATGGTGCTGTATGCATGGAAAAAGTCTGTTCCTTACTGCGGAGTCGGCAGCCAAGATTTGTGAGGACTGCCAAAAGTATGGCTCATTTCTAAGCCACTGCAGTTCAGCACTCAACCTGTCCAAGCGGAGCATAACTGATTTTTGCATCCAACGAAGGAATGATAGGACAAGAGGAAATGGCCTTAACTTGCACCAGTGGAGTTTTGGGTTGGATACGGGGAAGAATTTCTTCTCAAAAAGAGTGGTGGGGCATTGGAGTAGGTGGCTAAGGGAGGTGGTGGAGTCACCATGCCTGGAGGTGTTTAAGGAAAGGACAGATGTTGTACTGAGGGACATGATTTAGTGGGCAATATTGGCAGTAAGTGGACATTTGGACTAGATGACCTTAGAGGTCTTTTCCAACCTTAATGATTCTGTGATTCTATGATTCTAAGGGTTGATCCAGAGGAGAAGTGCTTCTTTCAAACATCACGTTGTATTCCCAGACTAGTTTGTTGCCTTTGTTTGTTTGTTGCCAGTGGGAAATAGCTGCAGAATACATTCATCATTCGTTATCTGACATTCCTCCTTGTCAGTGCATCAGGGCTCAGAGCCAAATGACTGAAACTGGTCACAACTGAGAGAAAAGGGGATGATAAAGCTGCATGTGCCAGAAGAACTCTGCATTACTGGCCATGGAGGGGAGACACCTGAAAGCCAAGAACAGCTTCTGATGCAACCAACAGATCAGCTGAAAATGCACAAACAACATCCAAAATAGGACACATTTCAAAATCCAGACCTTTATTTTGGAAGAGCAATGGGCCATGAACATTACATAGATCATCCAAAGGGAATTGTTTTTCCTAACAGGACAGGCCGCTTAGCTGTTGCATGAAAGCTGCCAGAGTCCTTTATTTATCTCAGCCCTGACACTGCCTGCATCCTGTACAGAAAATCGTACCATCAGAGATAACAACCCTACACCAAACTGCTCCCGGAGTCTGAAAGCGTCTTTTCTTTTGACCCGATTCCACCTCTGGAGACTATTGGAAGGTTCAAGAATCTCCTGTTAGGAGAGGATTCCATCTCTGTTTTTCCTTAATAGTTCTTTGTCCTATGAAAGCTACAGATTAATTTGTGAACCAGATGA